TATCCTTCAACACCTATAATGGCGTCAACACATAACAAGTCTTTTAGCTTGCTAATGCCGCTTAAACATATTTTCAACATTTTCAATGATTATCCTATGATTACGTGTGGCAGACAAACTCTCAGATTTGTGAGAGCTAGAAACGATAACGATTGTATCATTATCAAGGAAAAAACTGGAATGACGACGACAGCGAAAATAACTATTGAAAGCATGGAACTGAAAATCAAACATATTTACCCGAGTGATGATGTGAAAGAACAACTTTTGAAAGCTATTCAAACTGATAAGCCGATACTTATACCGTTTAGAAAATGGGATCTGAATGAACTGCCTGCAATTACCGCAGATGCGAGAAGAGAAATATGGTCAGTTAAAACTAGCACCGCAATCGAAAGACCACGTTTCATTATAGTATGTTTCCAAACCGGTAAACGTGACGTCGCAACCTCAGACCCTACCCTGTTTGATCACGTGAATGCTGCTAGTATTCGAGTATCTTTAAATGGTGAATACTATCCCAACGAACGTATGCAATTGGACTTTGCAAACAATCACTTTACTGAAGCTCATTTCAACTATAGCGACTTTCAAACCAGCTATACAACTTCTTCTTCTCCTCTGAAGAGATGTCTTTTAGATTATACCGCTTTTAAAAATCGCGCTTTGTTTGTTATTGACTGTTCCAAACAAGAGGAAACCATGAAATCATCAACTGTTGATGTTAGATTGGATATCGAAGCCGATACTGGCTTTCCAACCAACACCAAGGCCTACTGCATCATTATACATGACTGCTTAATCGAGTACTTCCCCCTCACCGAAGTTATTAAAACCATCTCGTAAGCAACGAAGGACTCTCAGTTCCGCATCAGACATCATGAGGATCGCGTTTGTTGACATTCAAGGCTTTACAGTTGACGGATTATTCGTACCTAAAGAACTATGTATCGAAATTGGTTTCAAGAAAAGTCATTACATCTTTACACCTCCGCAACCTTTTTCTACATTAAATACTAAAGACAAGAAAACTGTCGCTTACTTGGAGAAGAATTTCCATGGGCTTAAATATTCTTCCGGCGACGTTAAATATTCCAAGTTAAATGAAATAATTAAAAATAAGGTGATATATGCGGCTGACTATGTCTACGTTCGTGGAGAACAGAAAGCAAACTTTTTACTCAAGAAATGTCACATTTTTGGTGTTTTTCCCAACATTATTGATGTTTGCAAGTATGATGGTACACCGTGTGCTACTGGAAACTTTGTTGCTGATTCCAATCCATGCCACACCAACGGACAATTTTCCTGTACCCAGAGAAATGTTGAACGTCTACGCCACTGGTTTTCAAATATCATATTACCTATGTAGTTTTTTCTATTTTCAATAAAATATTAAACGTATTATTGTAGTTTTATTGAAAATACCTCTGGTTTGCGAAATAATTGTCAGAATGTCTATACTATTTTCATTTTGAACGGTATCATCCTGTATAATAATAACAGTACATCGTATACAGGTTATGAGACATTCTGACCGACCGACCGACCGACCAGAGGAGCCCACCACGCTATTTAGGTCACGCCTTGCTATATACGATTTAACGATATACCGTCGGTCCATCGATCCGCTATTTTTCGATGCACCCCTGTATACACGTTCTGAATGCCCCCCGTAATCCACGCCAACACCAGACAGGTGCGACATCGGCGCCATCTATGCGCGAGATGCCCAACCCATCAATGGCAGCTGTCCAATGACACATAGATTCCGTTTGGTTTGTACAGCGCCAAACAAATCGGCGCCATCTATGCGCGAGATGCCCAACCCATCAATGACAGGTGTCCAATGACGTATGACAGATGACGTGTAACGCCATCTATGCGTGAGATGCCCAATGACGCATGACAGGTGTCCAATGACACACAGATTCCGTTTTGGTTTGACAGCGCCATCTAGCGGCGGAATCCCCAACTCATGATTACAGATTCCGTCCAACAACCTGTCAATGGCGCGCGACGCCAGCGCCTCTGGTGGCGGATTTTGGAAGTTTTGAGACCGAATCCCCATAAGACATCTACTGGCAACCTTGCCCTCATTTGAGCAAATTTGTATCTCTTGCAGTTTCTGAGCACCCAACAGTCAGAGTCGAATTTGAAACACCCGGTATATAAACATACGCAACACGAATTTGCTTCGAAAATCTAGATCCGTTTGTAACCTTTGGCAAACAATTTTCTTTTATTTGGATCTCTGATCATATGGATATTGAGGCCAATGAACAAGCGCAGCTCGTCTAGCTGCCCTCTCACCAAGTATACACCACTTCTTAGAAGAAAAACGCCGAGACACGTCAAAAGATTTGTCAACTTTTTAACCAAAAAGTACTTCACCTCCTTTCACCCTTGTCCCCCCAGGGTCATTTCATAAAGATTTTAAATGACAAGTAATAGCTTTCAAAGCCTTTATTTTGACGTTTGATTTTTTTATATCAGTCGATTCGATTTCGAGAAAATTAGAATATTTATCTTCATTTGTTCAGTTAGAAAACAAAACATACGAAAATATCACTTTTTATTTCAATAAGTGTTCAAAATGTTGCCCGTTAGGCTTTGCCAAGTCTACAATTCGTTTATAATTCAAAACGGAAACTACCAATTCGTAAGATTAGACTTGGCAACAACCAAATAACAACCCGAATTTTTTTCCGCATTCTTTTTATCAACACAGGTATCATGGGCGAACTGTATTTATTTATTGTTATACCTATTTAGTTATTTGTTGCTAAGAAAAAAAAAATTAATTTGCTGTCAGTGACCTTTGTGACAATCTTGGGATAGTGAAAATTAATTTATTGATTCAGATTTTACTTTCAAAATGGTTTACACACTAGCCGAAAGAGTGGAAATGATTCTAATTTGTGGTGCCCAAAATCTATGTGCTCGGCAAATTGCCGTCGCGTTTCCGGGGAAGATAACGTCGCATGGGTATGTTGTGGACCTTGTTGCTAAATTTACTCAAACTGAATCTGTTACAAATAAAAAATGTGATCATCGGAGAGTTTTGAATGAAGCCGCTAAGTTGAAGTTTTGGGTCAGTTTGGAATAAATCCTAATACTTCATTACGCAAAGTTGTTGCTGCGACTGGTATTTTATTAGGCTCTGCACACACATTTACTAAACTCCATAAATTTCATCCATTCAAAATGAAAATATTGCAAGAGCTAACCGTAGATGATTTCGATAGGCGAGTTGAGTTTTGTGAACAAATCACTGCAGCGATTAATGATAATACCATTCATGTAAAGAATATCTGCTTCAGTGATGAATGCACATTTTATCTCAATGGGTTTGTTAATAAGCATAACTGCAGGTATTGGAGCAATGAAAATCTTCATACTTTTGTAGAAGGGCATACCCAGCACCCCCAAAAAGTTAATGTATGGGCAGACATTTTAGGAAACAAAGTGATTGCGTGTATCGGCGTTTTTTCTTTTAATCCGTGGTTTTCGATAAATCCGTGGTGGGAAGTTTTAAAATTAACACCCTGTATGTATGTAGATGTCCAAGAAGTTAAATCAGCTAACAAGAAGACATATATTACATCTCTATCCAACAAATGGCAACGGGGGTAGGATGCCAGCAACAAGAGTCTCAAGACTTCCAAATCACATGTCAGCAGTTATTTCATGCCATCTAGACCAAAACGACATTAAACTGTTAAACAGCATTGTCTACGTCTAGGCCATACATACGTAAGACATTCAGATTGATTGCTCTGAGAAGATCCACTGCTTTGCCAAGCTTGTAACATTCCCCTTAAATACATAGTCTCTAATTGTCTTTTGTCTACTCGTAAGTGGTCTGAGACTAATTTTCAGTATTTTTAGAAAGTTGTTAGTCTTGACTACAGACTCAAAAGAGGAGTGTATCAAATTTTTCTTATTTAAAAGATTCAGAGTTTCACTAGAAAATCTGAAGTGATTTGTTATTCAGATTTATATTCATGCAGCTAATGTCCTTTGACGCTATTGCCAAATCACGAATTCCTTCGTAAAATTGGTTAGGCACGCAGCTTTTTGAATGAGAAAAATTATTAAAATGCGATGCGACTTCATTTATAAGGGCAATGAAATTGAGATGGCTTTCCCGAAATTCCTGACTATATTTCTGCATTGAACTACTTGATCTTTTTTTCACTACATGAGAAATAAGCATTATTCAGCTATAAGAAAAAGTTACATTTCTTCCCCTAGATAAATAATGAATGTGCATATTTATGTGGAGTTTCTTTGACTTATTGGGCACATAGATATCACTGCTAGTAAATCCTTTGCCCATTTTTTAATATTACTGATAAATAATTATTGCTTGCTATAAGTAAATACAGAGTCTATTTTATAACCTGAATTATTATTGTTGATTATATTTATTCATTCCATTATTTTGACTGCCTGAAAGTCCCATGCGACTTGATAAATTCAAATATTCGAAAATGAGTGGGAAACGAATGAGGCAACAATGTGCATAGTTCAAAATATTTAATCAACAAACTACTAGATCTGCTGCTATTTAATAGTATTCAAGCGCTGCACTGCAGAATTGCGCTGGACGTTAGTTGAACCCCTCATTGGTTCAGACACATACCAAGTTTCGATTTTATTAGCCTTTTTAATAGAGTTAACATATCCTTTTTTCGTATACATATGTGTAACCAACTTTTTTCTGTCGCAGTTTAGTTTTAGCTACTACTGCAACAGATTACTCCACGTTATATAAACAACAATAAAAAATTATTAATATTATAATCAGTCTGTTTCGAAAGCTGTTTCAGGGAGATTGACTCTATATCTAACACGCAATTGCTGTGGTTATTTTTTTAACCATAGTTCATATGACCTGCGGCTTGGAATAAACCGAACATAATATAATTGATGACAGAAATACGTGGAAAGTACTTGGCTGGTGTTGATCTTTATGAGGTTATATTTTATTGCAGGTGTGGGTGTTTGAACCTGAACAACTAATCCGAGTGATTTTATCGCGGCCGAAGGAAGAAGTCGCAAAAGAACGAGATGAAATCATTTCAGAATTGAGCAACGCGACTAACAGTTTGGTCATCATTGACAAAATCCGATTCCATATAGATGATAATGGAGTGAAAAAGGAAGACTGGTAAGAAAAAATGCTTAAAGTTTTTTTTCACTATGTCTTCATTTAATTTGGAGATAAATAATATGTTGCTGGGTTGAAATCGCAATACCTATATTTAAAATACAGCCGACTAATAACTATTCAAGTAGTATTCTATGGGATTCTCTGATACAGATGATACAGAGCATTTACCAGTGCTTTTTGCAAATCCCTATAGCCAAATACCTAATCGCATTATTCCGATATTCTAATCATATTAGATGAAAATTCCCCTGGTTTGTGAAATAATTGTAAAGTTTGGTTTTATTGACGCAAGTTGTTCAAGGGAGTATTTAAATCATGGGTGCATAAAATGTTTACAACAATTTTTGTGGGAAAACTTTTTGTTCAACAACAAAGAACGAAAAAACGTGATTTTTGAGATTCAATCAAAAGTGTTGCCAGGAACGAAAAAACTCTTCAAATAAGATTTTTAGGTATTTATGAAACCTACAAAATGAGGCCACATATAAAAAGATCCAAGTGATAGAAAAAATTTGTGGCCGAAAACCTAGTCCAAATGCAGGCTTTGGCACTTGTTGGTAATGAGACGTAAGTGTCACGCAGTTACTCGAAATTCCTCACGTCGGTAAGCTTTGTACTTCTTAATAATCACAACAAAATTAGAGTCGATTAGTCAAGTATTTTTTTTATTTCTAATTGTTTATCTCAAAACATCTGTTTTCCGGCCATCACTACTAGTCTATTGAGGAGTATATAAGCCTCGTTCAAAGTGCATTTTATAGCAAAATACACGAGTTTACCTCGCCGATAAGAATATCAAACCATTTCGAAAGATGAATGTTATTTTTATGTGAAAACGAAGGGTTATATTTACTTCTTATGAACATATTCAAACATTTCGGATTTGTGATTAATTGAACAGACGCGCTACGACATTCGGAAAACATACATCATACATAAATTGTAAAACAAAGCGGATGTCTATCACCCTTTATTACGAAGAAACAAAAATTTCATGATTTCTTCATACTCTTGTGTATACATATTTATAGCTGAACTTTTTACATGATCACAGATGAGCCTTAAAGTTATTATAAAAAAATAATTTTAAACTGAAATTCACTGAACTGCTTATGAAGTTAGCACGCAATCTGAAAACACGATTATCTTTCAAACTGTCTTAGCCTAGTTAGTTTGTAGCATGTGCTGTATGACTTAGTCAAAGTAGATGTCACGTAATCCAGTTTCTTTTCGAAGAATTATAATTCCCTAGACCTTTTTTCTAAAAGTTTTAATATAGTATACGTTTATTTCGAAATCCCGTACAACCACGACTGCGAGTCTAAAGGGTTGGAAAATAAACTCGACAAAGAGAAAAAATAGTTGACTCATATCAGCCAATCGTAGCGAAGTGACCATCTGAAAAATTAGGCAATCTGTTCGGTATTACTCCTTAATACATTATGTAATTTCAGCATTTTATCTTGTATTGTTTTCAAGATTACTCTAATTATTTATAACAGATTCAATGTGTCGTCAACGTTCGCATGACATTTGTCATTGTCAAGTATAGTGGGATAAAGAACCAGTAGACCAAGAAGCGTAGTAGTGTAGTGGCAAGGAAAAAGGGGTGCTGAACAGCAGGCCGCAGGTTCGAATCCACAAAGCTTCCGTTGCCTATTTTAATTCGTTATAATAGATGTTTTTTATGTTGTCAACGAATTTATCGAGCAGAATTCTGAACAGCAACACTGTCTGTTTGTCTGTCCAATGAAACCGCATGTATTTAAAATTATTCTTTAATGTACACGATGGATGAGGTACATTAAGGCCGGCACGGGTATTACGTATCTTGAAAAGTGACATTTTGTCGTTTTTGTTGTGACATAACGTAAGTTTTTCTACAAGATATTAACTTAGCACTAGCTGCTGTACACTTGTTATGAACTCGTTTTGTAGTAGTACGTGTTGCCTAAAAGACATGATGCTTCAACTATCAATCTTTGACTCTGATCTGATGTAACCCCCTTTTCACATGATCCCGCGCACGCTGTGCGGCGGGCGCCGAACGGCGCGCGCCTGAGAAGCGTGATATTTTCACACGAGGTAGGTTTCCTCCGGCGGGCGCCGCGCAGCGCTCCCGGATTTTGACTGTTCAGTTGAGGCTAGCTATTTGAAATGGACGCCGCGCGGAAGAAGAAACTACTAGCCATGTTCTTGATATGGAGACGGTGAATAAGAAGAAATGCCATAAATTCGGTTTGGAAAATGATTTTTATTTATTCCAAAGTACAGAATGTGTGAAAATATTCGAAAATGCAGAAATGATTCACTTTGGCTCAATATCGCCACCTTTTGCCTTGACTATAGCAATGAGACGGTCCAAAAACGAATCACAAGCTGGCCGAATGTGACTTGACAAAATTTTGGCCCACTAACGGACAACGGTTTTATTCAGTGTCTCGAGGGTGGTATATTTCCTAGCTCAGACCTTGCTCTCCAAAATGGCCCAGATAGAATAATTCATTGGATTTGACTCGGGGATTTCGAAAGCCAGTGTGCGGTCAAAATGAAATTCGGAACGTTGTTTTTCAGCCATTCTTGGTTCATTCATGCTGTGTGAGACGGCGCCTAGTCTTGTTGAAATTTCCATGGCCTGCGGCCGAAATGTTTCTCTGACCACGGCATCAAAGCAACCTCCAGAACACTTTACCGATAGTATCTCGCATTTACTTTGACGCCAGTCTCAATGAAAACGATTGGAGAGTGCCCATCCGCGGTTACAGAGGACCAAACCATTATTTGTGGCGCGTGCTGCTTCCGGGTGACCCACCGGTGGCTCAAATTCTCGTAAGGACGTTCGTTCAAATGAACCCTATCGTTTTGAGAGTTTACAAATTGCTCAATTAGAAAAAAATATTATAAGTATAGAGGGTGTTGATAAAGTATGTAAAAAAACATTGACCATAAAATCCTTGGTCCATTTGAAGACGACATTTCCATATGAACATTATAAAGTTCATCAGATGATTTGATTGACATACGAAAGTACGCAAATAATCTTTTCTCACTGTTCCGCAATGAGTTGAACAAAACTTTTAAGGAACCAGAAGTATATAGATTTTGCAGCAATGGGTGAATCCAAAACCACCTATTTCTTCTTATTCGCCGTCTCCTTATCAAGTACAGGGCTAGTACTTTCTTCTTCCGCGCTGTGTCCATTTCAAATAGCTAGCTTCAACTGAACAGTCAAAATACGGGAGCGTCGCGCGGCGAGCGCCGGACGAAACCTACCTCGTGTGAAAATATCACGCTTCTCAGGCGCGCGCCGTGCGCCGGATCATGTGAAAAGGGCGTTGCTTCTGCTTCAGAGGTGGCATTATTGGAGTCTAAGCTTAAGTTTTCCCATAAAAATTGGTGTACTGTTAGATAACTATAGCAACGGTATAGTTCATTGAACTGAAATTGCTCCTGGTATAAGAACAGGATTAGGTGGTTTTGAGGCTGAATTTTTTATATTACCATCTTTCTGAGAAGAGTTGGAGATTATTGGGGAAGGTTCTAAACTAACGGCTGCTGATCCAGGGTCCTTTCTCGAAGATCAACGGTTCGAAGTAGATCAGTGGCATAACTGACAATTTTTTGTCACTGGTGACCCAGTTCTCTATATTAAAAAGCTATGCCAAACGAAAATAGAAGCACAAAAAGTGCCGAAAAAGAAGATGAAAAGGGATTTCAAGAGGAAAATGTGATAGAAATGAAGATTGTACAATTCACATACAAGATTTGTTGATAAAAGAGCTGCAAAAGAAGAAGAATGTATATCTGCAAGTGAAATTAAACGAATTACAAATAGAAAAAATGGAACTAAATCACTTGCAAATGCTGTGAAATACAGCAATGAAAAGGAAGTAAATCTAGATAAAGACACTGACGTTACTGAAGTTCCCACTCTATCAAACGCGAATAAAACAGAAACACATGCAGAACACCGAGAAATAGTCAAAGATACAAACATTAATAGAAATTTGGTTACTTCTACAGTACAACCAGAAAAGACAGTTATAATAAAACCAAACGATAAAAGTCAAAACTGTTTACACACAAAGAAGGTACTCAGCGAATATATAAATCATGCAAAAATGAATATCTTCATAAAAAAAATTAGCGATCAGAGAGATGGGGCGGTGAAAATTGAATGAGTAATGTTGACGACATTACAAAATTGAAGTTAGAAGTAGAAAAACATGTATGACACAGTTTTAAAGTGAGTGTTAGGTATAGGAAGTTACCAATGCCTAAAGTTGTAAGCTTCAGTGAGGAATTCGATAAAGAAGAGCTGATTAGAGACTTGAAAGAAAGAAACAATCTAATAAGCAGTGGTTCGATGATAAATGTAGTGGCAATTAAAAAGATAAAATACAGAAATCAGGCAATTCTGGAATTAGATGAGCAAACATTTAAAATAATTATGAAAGAAGGTTTACTGTTTCTATCAACGGATATGTGTACAGTGATCGAGCATTATGATCCCCTGAGGTGCTTTAACTGCTCTCAGGATTCCACCATACAGCTAAAAACTGTACAAAGAAGAGTGTTTGCATAAAATGTGGTGATAGTGGCCATCAGTCTCAAACCTGTAAAACACCGAAAAATGAGGTGAATTGTCCGAACTGCAAGGAATCAAATTTGAGGTATAATACAAATTTTGACATAAACCACTCACCGTTCAACAAACTATGTAGAATAATGCAAATGGAATATGAAAAATCAAAAAACGAAGCTTACTATGGAGACAGATCATAGCAATTACAAACAAAACAAGCTGTAAGCTATCTAAACCACTTACACATTCAACGATTTCTGTCACATAAAGATGAGGTTTCAAATTTCTTGGTGATAGAGAAGCCATTAATACTTTGTTTAACAGAAATACATGTAACAGAAGATATTGAGGAGGGGGAGATCGATATTCACGGCTATCAAGTTGTAAGAGTAAACACTGTTTTGAAGCATAC